AATCGCAAACAAGGTCGTTGGCTCGGAGTGTTTTGGAATAGCCGAAGTTCCCGGCTCCGTTGCTTAATGGTGTATGTACTTGGACTCTAATCCGTGTATTTTGGCACGCGGAATTGTTGCGCCACACGCGCACGCCTTTATCGGGTCCCATGCGATAACGATGCATCCGATAGGTGGCCGACCAGTAGGCCCCCGGTGATGCTTATCGAAATCTCGGTTCTTTAAAAAAATCTCACGCGCCCCCACCACTCGCGGACGCGTACGAGAACGAGGATTCGGCGATCGCGATGAATGACGCGCGAACGATCTCTTATCGCGAGATCCCGTGACGTCGTACTCATCATATAAATTATCCACCCGAGGAGGCCTATTCGTCAGTTCACAGTCTCTCCTCGCAAGATCGCGAGCGTGGCAGAACAACCGTCCGCTGGTTAGCTGCTACTTTAACATTCTACCAGCAACACACCCGTTGCAAAATCCGTAGAACTGTCGCAGTTCTATCTGAACGGTCTAGTCACTTACCACAGTATACAACAAAGGTGAGCATTTAATCTTTCATCGCGTTATTCTCCTCTGAACGGCGATCCTTTCCTCGGCTCTTCGAGCTCTGGCTCGATTCTATAGCTGCGAGGTCTCCGGTTTAATTTCATTTTTCTTCGGAATCTTCTCTTTTCTAATTACAAGATCTTTGCACCCCTTTATCGTGATACAGCAATGTTAATGTTGTTAAGTTAAGACTTCTTGGGCTTTTAGAATGACTGCTTTTAGCGGACAGTTTCCTCCAGCTGCAAGTCTTTTATTCGTGCTCTCCTTCAGAATTCTTAATCGCGAACTTTCTGTAGCAGTGCCAAGCTACTCTAATTGCAACTAACTTCAATCGTTATAATTTTAGTCCAGAATTCTTGGACCTAGATTCTTTGAATTTCGGCGAATCTTCAGGGCACGTTGAGTCTTTAACCGGTTCGGCTGAAGTTTTTGTTCGGTTCTCTATACAAAGTCCCAAGTCCTGGTCCCGAAATCATCGCGACCGATGTTCGATCGCCGTTAACCACCGAATTTTCCAATTGTCCAGATGCTGATCGGTGGAGCAGTGAGCTACGTAGCAGGCAGACAGGCGGTGCGCACAGTCTACTGGCGAACGGCGAACAACGGCCGGTTACTGAAGACGGCGAAGACCTGCATGTTCCAGGGTCCGCCGAAACCGGCGCCTTCCTCCACGTTCCAAGGCCAATCTCGCATCGACCCGCTGCCGAACTCTGTCTTCAGCAAACGGGACTAGAAAGCACTCAGCATGACACTTCATGAAAAACCTTGTCGCAAACGGGGTGGGAGGGGGGTTGCCAGAGACTGCATCCTCGAGGATGATTTCCTAGACTTGTATATAGTTGTAGACGAATAGACTTGTACATAGCCACTGTTAATTTAAGTTATACTCGTGTATTAGTCGCTTGTAGCCTCGCCGATGGCGGGACCGTCGAATAAAGACAATATTTATTTTCTTTAAACAATTACCATCGACAATTCTTCGCCGGGCCAGAACCCGATAGCAGTCGCGCGGAGACTGGTTGGATTCGAGCATCCGTCTTCTCCAAACGGGAGCGTGATTCCTGATCAATTGACACCATTGACGCCGCAACCGCTTCTCTTCGCCAGAGCTCGCAATTGGTTCAACGGGGATGCCGATCCTCTCCATTGCCAATTGACGCAAGACGAGAGAACTCTTTGGAGTAGTCCTGAATTTTCTCCGGTTCTCTTTAGTCTTCGTTTCCGAGTTCCCTGGAATCGCGATTAGGCGAGCGCAGCTCATACTTGAACTTTGAAATAAGGTCAAGTCGATTTGCGTCAGCGTGCGGAGCTAGAAAGAATAGGAGCCCGTGCTCTGGATCACCGCTAGAGATGATAACGATTAATCTGGCGGCGTGCGCCGTTCTCCTTTCGCGCTATTTCAGTCGGCATCGTCCGCTCGGCGTGCGCGCTGTCAACAATGACAACGGCATCGCGTGGCAGGATTTGCGTGACACCGGATCGCCGGCGATCCCGGCTCGCTATCGGGCTCCTGCTCGCCCGAAACCGGCCCCATAAACTTCTGCAACGCGGAAGCTGCACCGATAAGCGGTGTCGATGCACCTGGGACTGAACTCGATCACGCGAACGCTCGCGGCACACCGGTTTAGAGCGGCCGGTGCCGAACGGAACGCGTTCTCCGCTGCCGTCTTATCGCGCGGGAACGTTGCAATCATGCACACGCGTCGTGCACAGGTCGGTGTTACGTGCACGGTCCGCTGATAGCATGCCCGAACGCGTCATCGGCTTTATCTTCGGTTCTCCGAGCAAAATTCAGCCTGATGCGTCTGTTCGATTCGAAGAACGAGTCTATTAACCCCTTGCACTACGATCTCTTTCACAGCTACGTTGATCGGCACTTCTCTTTGTTCAAAGTTGTTCTTGCTGGTCCTCGTTTTATTTTGTTCCTTCATTTTGGTCGCAGGAGAATCAAATTTTACGTCGATCTAGAAGGATACACAGTGTTAACAGCGAAAGTGTTAAAATATAACCTTTTAAAATGTGATAACTTCTTTAAAACTGGACTAAGTGACTTGAATTTTTTTTTTTTTTAGATGATAGAGGGACCAGTATACCAGACAATAATGAAAATGTTTCTTTATTTAAATTTTGCTATTATTTGGAATGAGAAAAGAAATAGAAAAGTCTCGTTTCTTAACTTTTTTATCTGAGCCTATCACGAAAATTTGAAAGATGTCTTTCGTAGACTAGTTATTAAAATTAAAGTAGTTATATATCAGTTATTAAAATTCATTTTTACGATTGGATATTACTAGGATTTTTAGGATGCGAAAGAGTTAGAATACCATTCACGCCGTGACAAATTCGGACCATCCGGTTTCAGTTAGTTTAATCGTATTACAGTAAATTCTCACTAATTGACGCTCAGATTGTTCACAAAACTGGACAATTTGGGACGAGGAAATACGATTATTCGAGCTTCGCGGCTCTTTTTTATAGTTACCGATTGTCGACAACTATAAAAACGTGCCGGAGGGCTCGAATTGTCCAATTTTGTGCAGAATTAGAGCATCAGTTAGGAAGAATATCAATTACTCACTAATTGACGCTCAGATTGTCCACAAAACTGGACAATTTTGGGACGAGGAAATACGATTATTCGAGCTTTGCGGTTCGTTTTTATAATTACCGATCGTCGACGACCATAAAAACAAATCGGAAGGCTCGAATTGTCCAATTTTGTGCAGAATCTGAGCGTTAATTAAGAAGAATTTACTGTATTTAGATTTTGTGAGAATTTTTGTGGCCGATTCTCGACACGCAACGTGTCAATTGGAGATATCGTTATTGACCGTGCGACTTGGATGCACGATATCTGTTGGTCCTCGGTAGATATCGTAGGCCACCCTCTTTCCCCCTTGGGATTACTTTTTGAGAACGTATTGCTTTCTCGCGCTTTGAATAAATGATCTGTTGATGCGCTTAAATACGATCGGCCGGATACAAGCGGGTGAAGTAGGTGACCTTTGGGAATTTTTCCTCGAAATAACCGTGCGACCCAGCTTCTTGAAATTACTTGGGTAGTTCGGTTAACGATCCGGGTGGCCGAGAGAATTTTCACTCGTCAGAACGACGAAACTGCCGCGGAAAGAAAAATAGCGTAATTGTTCGACGTGTCGGAACCGTCGCACGCGATAAAAAGTTTTTCGCTAGATAAAAAGTGTCGCGATGCGGGTCAAGGCCGGCGACATTCAACGCACTTGTCGTTTGCCAGCACGACAAAGGTTTCCCTAAACACGCGTCCGTGCAGGCCATTCTACTCCCGGAACATTTTCTGCTCGTGCGACAGCTCCTCGATAGCTTCGCAACGGCGGCGGCTGAATAAGACCGCGTTCACGCTCGTATCTCGCTCGACGGTTTATTTGTTAATGAGTCGACCCGATAAGCGAACATCTGCTCAGAGGAAGAAAGGTTACATTAACCTCTTCAAGGACGAACCGTTAACGAGCGCAGATAACTTTTTGTTTCCGATTAGCGGTTGTGGAACTTCGCGCGGACACAGGTTCACCGCGGATTAGCCGTCGTTGGAAAAATTGGTAGCAAAAAGTTTCCTCCGTTTCGTTCGAAACTCTTCGAACATTTTCAAACATTTTGCTGCGGCGGGTGTTAACGACGGATCGAAGATTCGGTACGAGCACGGAGCGATTAAAGTCCGTCGATTAAGTTGTAATTTCCACGATTTAATTAAACGGGATTTAGATAAAGCGAACCGGGGATCAGGATGATTACAGAAATTCGGTGGGATAGAGCCGAGACGTCGGATCGTTGAGCTTTAACCTCAGGAAATCGAAATCGCGCGGCTAAGCAGCTTATCTGCGCACGAGACTACTTGTTCCCGAGCAGATTTTTTCCCCCAGCGAGTATAATCGCAATCGTTCACATTAAACGTGATTCGTTAACCCTTGATATACAATAACCTTGACGATAAATCATCTCTTGCCGATATTCTAAGCAAGTCGGGTTGACGAAACATCCCTCTCGGTTGCTTCACGGCCAACGTCGGACTAAAATTAAATGCACTCGTGTTCGATCGAGGGACAGGTTGAGGTGACACGAAGAAGAAGAACGAACGAACAAATGAACTTTCGCAGGGGAACGTATGCCAATGGCATCTGCTTACGGGCAACGGAAGCCGGACGTCCGGTCCATGATCAACTGCGCGAGCAGAACACGGAACGGAATCGGAGGAAATTGAAACTGGTACATCGATGCAATTAAAACCGAGCAACTTCCTCCGCCATTCTGCAACGTTCGTTCCCGAGACCTCCCGATCCAACTTTCTTATCGCCTCGTCGTCGTCGTCGTCGGGGGGTAGCTGCGCCAATACTCGGGCACCCCGTGCTTCGAAGCGGCGCCGGAGAAGAGGGCAGGAACGCTCGGAACGCAACAATTTCTTGCGGTTCGGTAGACCCGTCGTAGCCGAGTAGATATTCCGACGCGGCGGAGATCTTCGGGGCGAGTTTCTGGCTCGCGAGAGGGAGGATCGACCAGCGGCCGCGATGGTTGGAGAGAGAGAACGCGAGAATCGGGCTTAGTGGGGTACCCGCGGGGGTGGAAAGTTGCGCGGGCGCACTGGCAGGACTATCGATTTCGCTTGCGAAAGGTGCCACACGGTTGGCCATCGATTCGACGCTCGTCTAAAAGGATTGTGGCTGGCGATTTCGAAAAGACGGGACCCGCTGACGACGAACGGACCGTCCGCTAGCTCGCAGGTCTGGGATAGATCGTCGGCATCGACGCGACGACGGTGGTGAAGAGAGTGACCGGTGTCCTGACAGTGGCCGGCAGTGTCTCGTTCGCCGACGAGGACGAAGAAGAGGCTCGGGGCTGCCTAAGATCGGTCCTCGGCCGGAGTCATGCAGAACTATGGACACGAGGATTACGATTATGGGGCTGGCGAGGGTGTGCCGCAGTCGCAGCAGGTCACCGGCAGGTCGCTGCCCCAGGTGCCAGGTGCCAGGCCCATGGTGGACCCGCATGCCGCCGGGGAGGTCGACCCTAATTTGTACCCGGAGCCCAAGGAGGCGACCCATAAGATCCGCGGAAAGAGCGACGTGATCGAGTACCTGTTCGGGGCCGTTGACCAGGAGCTGCTCACCGTCAAGACCTTCTATTTCTTTTTCTACTCGGCCTTCGGCTCCCTGTTCCCTCTGATGGGGGTCTACTTCAAGCAGATGGGCATGAACGCTGGCCAGTGCGGCCTCCTCATCGGCCTCAGGCCCTTCATCGAGTTCCTCAGCGCGCCCTTCTGGGGATCGCTGGCTGACAGGTGAGGCTGTTGTAACAAGGACGTCCGGTCAACCTGGGCTGGCATTATTACCAGACTGTACAGTTCGTTCTTTCTTTAATCGCGTTGATCTTCGATCTTTCCCTTACACAATTCCTTGAGAGCCTAGCGTTCGATGTAACATGTACACTAATGGGTTATATAATTAAAGGCTGGCTGTGGCAATATGTCCGTTCGTGGTAACACGCATTTAGTCGATTCGCAGAAGTAAAGAGTTTCCAAATAATTTATCGAAGGGAACGAAATGTGGGAACGCGATTCGGTGGTAGCGATTTCATGGTAGCCATTGGAGGATCGTTAAACCATACGCCTTCGTGAATAACTTTTGCCTCGCAATGTAGAAGAGAGTAGAATCCATTTCGAAATGTTAAGATTGTTCGGATACGAGATGGATCGACTAACATTGATCTTCGCTAAACTCCTAGGTTCACCCCTGAAGTGTCCTGCCCTCGACGTATCTGATTACGGCGACAAAGTAAATGTAGGTTTACTCCTATCGATTTACCCAGTCAAGGGTAGAGAATGTCCTCGCCTCTCAAGAACGGAGGATCTCGCGGATCGCGACTCGCAGAAAAGTGGGCCAATCGATTTCCAGTGATCCATTTTCCGTCGCAGGTGGCAGAAAGGCAAGCTGATACTTTTGGCCTCTCTCTCATGCTGGATCATCTTCACCCTGCCCCTGGGCTTCATCCAGCCTCCGCCTACGTCCTGCATGGTGCCGAAGAACAACAGCTCGTATCTGGAAGCGTCGAATCCCGACCGTCGGATCGTCAAGAGGTCCGTCAGCAGCGAGGGTCTGTATCATCCGGCGAACGATGATTGTTTAGAGGTCGCCGAGAACGTGGTGTTCGAGAGATTGAGGAAAAACGAGGACGTCCCGGTGCAGACGATCAGGAGACGATCTAGAATGAATCCGCGACCCGTGCAAACTATCCCAGACCAGAATAATAACCAGCACGAGAGCAACAGGATCCGAAGGGAGGTTCTCACGACGGAAGACAGCCCCGTGGAGGACCTCAAGTACAAGCAACTGGTGTTCGAAGACACCGAGGCCAACTCCGAGGCGAAGACCATAGATTTCGAGACGTTGCAACGAAGAAACCGTCCGGCTGACATTCTCGAGTACAAACGGTTCCTCAATGTAAGTTCGGCCGGGTTTCTTCTCTTCAGGATATACAACTACGTCAGGCTCTAATCAGCAACGAATTCCCTTTCTCACTTGTTCAACCGTACAGAGCGTCTTTTCTTTCAGAACCAACCCCTGGACGACGGAAGACCGCCGAAGAAAGCGTACACGCATACCAAAGTCAAGGCGAAACCACCGCCGACGAAGGTCATGGTGAAGCGGGACGTCGAAGAGGAGGACGCAGCGTCGCAGGAGAAAAAAACCGTACATTCTCGGCAAGACCCAGCGAAGAACGTTCGCAAATTAGCGTTTCTAGAGGACGAAGAGGAAGACGAAGTGAACGACGACAAAGACGAAGAGGACGTCGAGGTGCCCGTGGCGAGGACCAAACGCAGCGCCAACACGTTGAACCGGAGTAAACGCTACGCCAGGATGCCGCACTCTCGTCAGAATCCACACACCGTCGCCGACGCTGCCAATTACGACGCCACGGAGAACAAAGGATGGGTGAAGCCGGTGTTCAGCTCCATCGTCTACAGACTATCGGTAAATTATTGCTAACCGCTGCCCGAAGTGCGAGAACGGTAATCGGACCTTACTTTGTAACGCTTGGTAAAATGTTGTTGCAGGACATCCAGAAGACTTTCTTCCTCCTGCTGCTGTTGGTGATAGTCGGGGAGTTCTTCGCGGCGCCCGCCATCACGTTAGCAGATTCGGCGGTGATCACGTTGCTGGGAGAAGACGCGGACAGGTAGCGTTCCCTGCAGCCCGCGATCTAGTCCCCGGAGTCTCGAGCTTCAACTTCGTTTTCAGGTACGGCCACCAGCGCATGTTCGGCAGTTTGGGCTGGGGTCTGGCCATGTTCTTCGTGGGGATCGCTCTGGACCACAGTACCGCGTTCCCGGAACACCCTTGCGGCCCAGACTTGAGGGAGAAGAACTACACGATCTGCTTCGCGATCTTCAGCGTTCTGATGGGCGCGGCTCTGATCACCGCTACGCAGATCAACTTCAAGTACGACATCATAGTGGCGGAGCCGGTGAGTGCCGGGGCGTTGATACCTCGGACGATGATATCCGCTGAGATCGGAACCGCCTTCAGATCCTCCGGTTTCTGTTCAGGAAGTGGTGAAACCGCCGGCTGAGCCGACCAGGGAGGAACAGCTGCAGAGCCAACTGTCCCAACAGCTGAATCTTCCGACGCTTCAAGACTCCTCGGCCGCGGTGAACCCAAAGCCGTTGCCTCCGGAAGGCAAGGTACGAAATTGATTTACTTTCATTCCTTGTTTGCCGCGTACTCGAGGTCTTGGAGCTGTGCCAACGAGCGTGCCAACGCTTTCAGACGAAAATGTTTGCTCAAACGATGCGAGAGATCCCGGAGTGGGTGACGGTGCTGAAGACGTTCAAGGACGTCAAGTGCGCGTCCTTCCTGTTCGTCGCCTGGTTCATGGGCTTTGGCATCGGACTCATCTTCACCTTCCTCTTCTGGCATCTTCAGGATTACGGAGGCACGCCAACCCTGTTCGGTGTCGCCTCGGTGATCAATCATGTCTCCGAGATATTCGCGTACTTCTTCAGCTTCAAGCTGATTAGGCAGATCGGCCATGTCAAGGTAGTCCAACCACGAATCAATGACCGATTTAATTAATTAGTTCCGGTTCGTTCCAAACACGACCTATAATATCTTTCTTCGCGATCGAATGTTATCTTCTTCCGCTTGAAATCCGCTCGTTTCAATTGTCACAGGTGTTGTGCATGGGGCTGGGCGGGAACGTGTTCCGTTTCCTCTATATTTCCTGGCTGACGAGACCCTGGTGGGTGCTGCCTTTCGAGTTCATCCAAGGCATCACCCACGCAGCCGTGTGGGCTGCGTGCTGCAGCTACATAGCCCACAACACACCCCCGCAATTGCGAACCAGCGCCCAAGGTGTGCTACAAGGTATTCATCACGGTCTGGGCAGGGGTTGCGGCGCTGTAATTGGTGGCATGTTCGTCGATGCTTACGGTAAGTGGCGAAATTATCTCGGAGGAACGTTCGCGATACGAGATAATCGTTCTTACAAGCGCCGATTCGCGGTCTTATTTTAACAACGCTATATCGTGAACACGCCGTACTTTGGCCAGCCTGTTCCGTTAAAAATCTTAACAAGTTGATTACGTGTAGAATAGCTTCATAACTCGGTGTAGGCGTGGTTTCGTTGCTGGGAGCCCGGCCAGGGTCCCAAAGAAGCAACCCCCTCGTTCTCAGCCAGATCGTCGACCATGCAACTCCAGAAACAATGCTCTATCGATCCTCTTCGAGATGCGAGCGTTTCCATATTGATTCGGCTTGCAATATTCACGAGGGATTGCTCTATTATTGGTCGGGGTTCTCGGGACCCTAGCATCCGTCTGTCGAGAGAAAAATTTCGACCTTTTTATTTATAAAGCTCTCCGTTGCACAAACCCGCCGCTTTCAATCGTGTCTAATTATAATTACATTGGTCGATTTTCCCAGGCACGACCGCGACATTCAGAGCGTACGGGCTGTCCTGCGTCGTGGTTCTCGGCGGGTTCGTGTTCATCAACTTCTACAGGAAGGACACCGGCTTCGTGTCCGATCTGCCGCAGACGGAGGACCCTCACCAGGTGGCGGAGGCCACGCATCTGGCACCGCACGGTGTTCCGAGCAACGCCATACCCAGGGCACTTAGTTCCACCCGTCTGCACGAGCTGGCCAATCAGGACACGGGCTACGGGGCCACTTACCAAACGGCGGGCAGTAACCTTGGTATACCTGGCGCGAACGGAGGTGAGATCCTTGTGACACCGTGTAAACCCTAATTAACATGATGCGCAGTTTTCTATCTTGTTCAGAGAGCGACAATTAGTTTCACGATTGATTCGTGAGTAAGTCGAATTTAGTTTGGTTTGCTATTTTATTCTATTTGCTATTCAACCCCGTAGCAGCTGCAGCAGATTCTCCCTAATTGACGATCGGATTGTTCACAAAGATGAACAATTTGGGAAGAGGAGATACGATTATTCGAGCCTTGCGGCTCGTTTTTATAGTCACCAATTTATGTCAACGACTATAAAAACAAGCCATATGGCTCGAATAATCGTATCTCCCTAATTAGAACTGGGTAATTAGAACTCGTATCTCCCAAACTGTCCATTTTTGTGCACAGTTTGAGCGTCAATTAGGGAAAATTTACTGTAACTCGCGTTTTCCTTATTTATTAATTAGGCCGCGGATCATAGTAGTGCCAGTGTATCATAATCACTGCNGATATTCGCGTACTTCTTCAGCTTCAAGCTGATTAGGCAGATCGGCCATGTCAAGGTAGTCCAACCACGAATCAATGACCGATTTAATTAATTAGTTCCGGTTCGTTCCAAACACGACCTATAATATCTTTCTTCGCGATCGAATGTTATCTTCTTCCGCTTGAAATCCGCTCGTTTCAATTGTCACAGGTGTTGTGCATGGGGCTGGGCGGGAACGTGTTCCGTTTCCTCTATATTTCCTGGCTGACGAGACCCTGGTGGGTGCTGCCTTTCGAGTTCATCCAAGGCATCACCCACGCAGCCGTGTGGGCTGCGTGCTGCAGCTACATAGCCCACAACACACCCCCGCAATTGCGAACCAGCGCCCAAGGTGTGCTACAAGGTATTCATCACGGTCTGGGCAGGGGTTGCGGCGCTGTAATTGGTGGCATGTTCGTCGATGCTTACGGTAAGTGGCGAAATTATCTCGGAGGAACGTTCGCGATACGAGATAATCGTTCTTACAAGCGCCGATTCGCGGTCTTATTTTAACAACGCTATATCGTGAACACGCCGTACTTTGGCCAGCCTGTTCCGTTAAAAATCTTAACAAGTTGATTACGTGTAGAATAGCTTCATAACTCGGTGTAGGCGTGGTTTCGTTGCTGGGAGCCCGGCCAGGGTCCCAAAGAAGCAACCCCCTCGTTCTCAGCCAGATCGTCGACCATGCAACTCCAGAAACAATGCTCTATCGATCCTCTTCGAGATGCGAGCGTTTCCATATTGATTCGGCTTGCAATATTCACGAGGGATTGCTCTATTATTGGTCGGGGTTCTCGGGACCCTAGCATCCGTCTGTCGAGAGAAAAATTTCGACCTTTTTATTTATAAAGCTCTCCGTTGCACAAACCCGCCGCTTTCAATCGTGTCTAATTATAATTACATTGGTCGATTTTCCCAGGCACGACCGCGACATTCAGAGCGTACGGGCTGTCCTGCGTCGTGGTTCTCGGCGGGTTCGTGTTCATCAACTTCTACAGGAAGGACACCGGCTTCGTGTCCGATCTGCCGCAGACGGAGGACCCTCACCAGGTGGCGGAGGCCACGCATCTGGCACCGCACGGTGTTCCGAGCAACGCCATACCCAGGGCACTTAGTTCCACCCGTCTGCACGAGCTGGCCAATCAGGACACGGGCTACGGGGCCACTTACCAAACGGCGGGCAGTAACCTTGGTATACCTGGCGCGAACGGAGGTGAGATCCTTGTGACACCGTGTAAACCCTAATTAACATGATGCGCAGTTTTCTATCTTGTTCAGAGAGCGACAATTAGTTTCACGATTGATTCGTGAGTAAGTCGAATTTAGTTTGGTTTGCTATTTTATTCTATTTGCTATTCAACCCCGTAGCAGCTGCAGCAGATTCTCCCTAATTGACGATCGGATTGTTCACAAAGATGAACAATTTGGGAAGAGGAGATACGATTATTCGAGCCTTGCGGCTCGTTTTTATAGTCACCAATTTATGTCAACGACTATAAAAACAAGCCATATGGCTCGAATAATCGTATCTCCCTAATTAGAACTGGGTAATTAGAACTCGTATCTCCCAAACTGTCCATTTTTGTGCACAGTTTGAGCGTCAATTAGGGAAAATTTACTGTAACTCGCGTTTTCCTTATTTATTAATTAGGCCGCGGATCATAGTAGTGCCAGTGTATCATAATCACTGCCACGCGGGTTGCCCTATCAGTTCCATCATCTACCGTATCTAATCACAAGTATATAGATTGCTTCTTTTGGAAACTCTCCAGCTGTCTTTCGGTTTCAGGTCCCGTGAACCCGACGAATCCATTTCTGAACGGTGGCGGCGGCGGCGGAGGTGGATATAATTACGGTATGACTGGCATAGGCGAGGACGAGTATATCCGTAGGAGCTTCCAGGTTTAGTAAAACCGTTCTACTTAGAACGTCCCGCGAGGAAATCGTCCGTAGCGAACGAAAACTTCTACGCAAGGCTATACTCTCTGAACGAAACAATCTTTTTTCTATATTGTTTGACAAGAGCAGACTGCGGATCTTTGTGCGCCATCGAAACCTTCTACACTGAGTGTAGAATTTCATTTGAATCTTTTCATGTTCGTGTTTCCAATAAAAAGAAAAACGTGCATAAGAGATCCAAGGTCCGCTAACGAGGCTTCTTTGCGAATCTCACAACAGACAATCTACCGACGTGTCGTCGGCGAACGTTCTCACTTTTGTTCGGTCTGATCGACAGCTCTACAGTGAAGTGATCAACCGAAGTGAGCTGGACCTGATCAAGCCGCCGCCGATAGAGACCCACCTACACGCTCAACAACCATGCACGAATCCCTTCCATCTGCACGACTACGAATGGTAACAGTCCTGGACGATCGATCCTGCCTGAGGTGATCAGGATGATCATGGGACGCTGGTCGACAACCGGCTCGTTCTCTGGAGAACCAAGAACCAGCGCCAGGTTCGATAAGACACCGGCAGGACCCTTCGGAAGCCAGGAGAGACTAGATTCGGCAGCTCGTCGGTGCCCTGTCGGGTCGCGTTTATTGTAAATACGGCATTGATCGTCGTCTGCTGCACCCTTATGAAGCCGATCGCGAGCCTAAACCCTTTTCCTTTTTATGTAACGGGGCTCTGTTCGGCCGCGATCCATCGGTCGACAACACCCCCTCCGATTGTCCTCTCTCGGCCCTGCTATTCTAACGTCCTAGCACTTTTAACCGAGCCAAAGAGATCGGCGAAAAAGACTGACCGACGATTCGAAAGTGCCTGGTACTCGAGACGCCATACGCTCGGATTGCTATCTTGTTTACTCAATTTTCGTGTTTGTTGCATATCACCGTCGGTTTCATAACGGTCACGCAACCGGCGGCACGCTGTTGGCGTAATCGTGTCGAGCTCGATCGCGATCCACCGGGCACCGAGGGGCGGGACCGATGCCCGCGGAAACGGAAGCTCCTGGATCGAGGAATCAACCGGGAGGGTTTGAAACCGATGTTTCCCGCGGTGGTAGGCGCGACGGCGTCGTCCCGTCGCGTAATGCTTCTCCGAACGCGATTAGGGGAGCTTTCGAATTATCGGTGGATCCTCGGGCGGAGGCCTGTTAACAGGAGAAAAACTGGCTGTAGTGATGGCGCGACTGGTGAGGGAACTTCAAAAACCTCTTTCTCATCCACTATCCATTCCCTAAATATTCAAGAATTAGTCTTCTCTATTAACGATCGAGAGGAGAATTTGGATAGCATTTGAACTTTGAGAGTTCGCAGGTCGATGGAATATTTGTCGACGTTGTATTTTCTGGCCCCGCCGAGTCTCTTCAGGCAAAACCAGAATGATACGCCATTTTCAACTTGATCATAACGTTTAAACTTCATCGTGCTATTTTGCATAGAGCAATCGGTGCTTCAATCGAAACTGTCTGATCTTTAAACGAACGTTCGGGATATGCGAGGTACAGAGAGGTTGTTCCAGTAGTATTATTTATTAAACCAATTTATTTAACATCCTGGAATTTTAGGTCGAAACCAGCTGGAAAAGACGCTCCTATTGTCGATCAGTCTCCTGAAAAATGTACGCAATCTGAAACGTATGAAAAAGAGCAGTACGAAGTTTCCTTACCAGACGCGACACCAATGTCCATCGGGGACCCTGAAAGTGGATCACGCGTGATGCGGACCGTTCCGGCCGGGTGAAAAATACGATTGTACAGCAGAGTAATCCGATTATCTTTCGAAGCTATACTTAATTATACCTGACACGTGTAGTACGGCAGAACGCAGGATCTGCGTGGTCGCTTCAACGAAACTATTTATCTTACGGACTTGCACTCCGCGGTGTCGTTCGAGTCGCCGCTGCGTCGCCGATGTCGATCTAGAATTGCCAGTTTGATAATACTCCAGGGTCCTCCGGAGCTCGCGAAGCACGATCCAAGGAGTTCGAACAAGGCCGTGTCTTCGAGTGCAAGCGCCTCGATGTATTATCGTGTATCTACAATACTCTGCTTCTCGTTTCGTCGTGATTCTCCGGGCGCACCTGTACTCGTCATCCTCCGGGATCAAAGGAACTGAAACGAAAGGAAAGAGCACGAGAATCGGCAGCACTCATTGTAAATAATTCTCTCTCGCTATCTCTCTACCTCCCTGTCTCTATATATATTTCTCTCTCTTTCTCTCGTGTGGATATTAAAAACCCGTGTTTCTCGTTGACCCTTGTTTTCAGTTCTATTAGGCTGAACGTTGCTCGTTCCGTGTTGCATTCTGTAAAACATATCACTTGTAACCGGTTAGAGACTCTATCGAAGTAGCTCGTATCGTACTGTTTTACCATGTAAGCAGACACACGTTCTCTCGTGATAGGTGTATGATACTGTTGAATTATAGAAGACGATTACTCGGAGACGGGGACGCCGGCGAACGCGGGGCTGGCGGTGTGCGGGGAGGGCTCGATCTTCCGTTCTCATCGATCTAGATCTCTCTGAATTCGAAGTGAAACGGGAATCAGTGGCACAGACGCGCGAACGAGAGATTATTCTGCTGCGAAAACAAGTGGAAAGAGATTACATTGTTTTCTGGAATGGCTGATATCCAAAGTGGAAACAGTCTATCACGGTCGAACGCGCGAAACGAATCTTCTGGTAGCAAGAATTTGTTACGATCTCACGCTAATAATGCTACGTTTCCCGATCGATCAATTTTCAAAGTAGAAACTTACAATCCGAGAGCGTAGACATTATTTTCGTTTCTGCGTCTACGGCAAGCCTCTCCTCCAGCAATGTCGCTAATTTCTGACTGCTGCGTGGTTACTGATCGAGTTATTACAAACTAGAAAGCCATGCCGAGATTTTAGGACGAGCCAAAGTGGACACCCAGGCACTGCCAGGGGAGCGACTGTCGAAGGGAAATCGGTTCTCCTCGCGCGACCGAGCCCCGGTACCGGCAAACGAAGGGAAATCAGGTTTCCCGTGGCACAAGCTAGAGATTACGTTGTACCTACATACCATATAGAAGTTAAAGCTAAACGTAAGGCATATCGTCGTACACATCAAGAGCGATTCAGCTCGTTATTGTTACAGATCAGTACTGGTCGCACGGTGAACCGTGAGTGTGTGTGCGTGTGTGTGTGCCGGAGTGAACCACACCAGAGATCAGTGCTACATTTTTCGAGAACACCTTCCACCGAAACCGAGTAGAACTTTAGGACTAAACGTAATCGTAGTTAGCGTTCTCGTCGCGACTCGTGTTTGGAGCCGTTTGCTTCCGAAGTGGCGCGAGCAACGATTCTCTGGTGAATTTTTCGGTAAAATATACGTCGTCGTTAGCAACAACGTGTATAAGTATTTCTAAATTGTTTACGCCGCGTGTTTTGTATGTTCAACGTGAAACGAAACGTATGTCCAAGATCTTGCATCGTGCTTCAATTAACTGTGCAATCGGTAATTCCGACTCGCTCTCTCACCAGAGAATGTAGTAGAATCTATACTGAACAATCGATCCGTGTGAATCACTTGCGACATTTTCGAAACAAATGGCTCGATCGCGGATCAATCTTCGTTGCCTTACAAAAGCATGCGCACGAGCGACGAGGCTGGTAAATAGGTGTCGAATCAACCATCGCTGTAGATGTTAGGGCATGAACGTGTTTCGGAATTGGTCCGCTGTTACACTTTTGTTACTCGCCTTAGCTAGTGCTGTTAGCTGACGCTGTTTCGAGAGCTTCCAGATCAGGCATGGGTACGAATTGCTGCCCCGGGGCAATTCTATGGCTCTGGGAGCAACGAAGCCACGCCCGCTCGAGCGGTTTTACACAGTGCGGGAATTCTAGAGAGGCGGGGCTTCTCCCACGCGCGCTGTTTCCACCAATTATGCAGTCGCCTCCGCTGTGGGACGGCTGGCTGGACGATAGAGTGGGGGAGGGGGCGCGCGTGTGATCGGTGCATTTGCATATCGTAGGAGACATATCGTCGTGGAATCGTATCGGATATACTAGAAGAAAGTCGGCTGTACAAAAAGCCACAGTTCAATTTAGATGTTCGGCGCATGAGAATGTTCGACGATGATTGTTAAGACTGTGTAAAAATGATTAGGTGGAATTGAAAACAGTAGAAAGCATAAAATGTTTTAAGAATATCTTTTTCAAGTCGATTCGATGGCCATGTTGCTTGAATTGGAAATTGTGCCGGTAGAGTTTCTCGAACGAATTCTGAACTTCGTGCTTTCTTCTCGTACACTCGACAAACTAAAAAAAAAAGAAATGATCGCCCATGCCTGATCGGTTCGCGATCGACGCTCGCGTTTCCGTTTGAGCTTCGCAAGGTGCACGTCGGTTTGCCTACAAGATGATTTGTGAATCGCCGGTGAAAGGCGTGCTCGAAATAAACGGAATGAGATCAGAACCGATTTGTTTTTCCACGTTCTTTGACGCAAGCTCGCGGGGATCGGCGCACTCCTCGGCCCAAACACACCGGGAACACGACGATACATCACCGGAGAACGCCTCGACGACGTTCGCACGAAGTCTTCCCTAACACGTAGACACGAACTAGCGTACTATTTTTCGGAGATTCTGGTCGGAGGTAAGATAAAGAAGAGACAAAATTGTGCAGAGAGCGCGTCGGAATCGTGGGAGAGATCAATAGCGGCGGACTATCCTTAACGATCGAAAATCGGTAGCGGATTTATAGTTGTCGGCCGTCTAGTTCGATCGCGATCTATCGCTCCGTGCAACATTCATTTCCGAGCATACTTTTCACCCAGACCTATACAGAGACACACACGTACACGTGTTTATTCTTTGTTTTTTTTTTTAAGAACACGCACGCGTAAACGGCAGAGAACAACACCGGCAAACTCGATACATATCATATAGGAGTTAAGTCGACGAAAGAGGAGCGGAACGGGATCGATGTAACGCGTTCGTGTGAGAGAAAAACGTTTCGCACGTGGTCGCCTCGTCTCGCCAGGTATCGTGGACGAAGCTCTCGCTGCCGATAAAATATCAGCGAGAGGGGTCGAATCGCGTTTGAATCGTTTAAACGATTTCCGAGAAGGTCGCTGTCGATGCTTTTTAAGACTGACAGGGAATCGTTCGTTCCGAGTTGTTATTCCTCCTTAAAATTGTTACTTCGGTAAATACGATAGGCTACCACCAATTCGAAGTACAGTAGTGTCTCTCGTCCCGGCGCAACTTCGGTGCGCCATCACTGACGCCGTGATATTGCTGCGACCCCGTAATTCATCGATTTTCTCGCTACGTCGATGCTAAGGTTCGACGGAGTCTCCTTTGACTCGAATTCCCGGTATACAACTCGCAATACAATGACATAACTTTTTTTCATTTTAACATTTTAATACTGATTTTTCTTTTTCAACATATTGCTGATAGTTCTCTGATTAAAATGAGACCAAACATGATATACCTTGGACAGATACTTCTGATTACAATAAAATCAAACGCGATATAATTTCGATTATGTACATTTATTTACTTTAACACTTAACGTCTAATTCATTTGATTCTGTTATCACTGTGATTATATAAGTAAAATACATTGTTATACATATTAACAGTAACTGTACATTGAAAAGCTGTATTGACATTGTGCATAATTAGATAAGTGGAAAATTATATTCTACATTAAATTGTTTTGTTGCGTATCATCCTTGGAATTGTCTAGTCTATCGTGGCCTACGGGAGAGCGTCGCGTCGGCGGATGATCATGTGCGACTCTTCGCCTGATTTTTTACCTGTTTTCCATAGGCTATTATCTCATGTTTTCGTGGAATTTTGCCGAACGGAATCATCGTGGCAAATTGATTTTTACTTCGGCAATTGTTTCATTGCTTTACGAATATCGCCGTTGTCGCGCCGTAATCAAACGATTCGAACAAGAGTGACGAGTTGACTTTTGTTCTCAAAGGAAAACGTGGCTTCGGTTCCAACCCTTGCCCTTCGTTGCCACATCTGTAACCCATCCGTTGCGCTATCGGCGCCGAGTTTCGAGGAGTTTCGACCTCTTAAAATTCCACGGTTGTGATGGAAAAAGTACAGTAAACTGTACCTTCATACACTTCAGGCGTAGGCTCGTCCTCAGACGACTGTAATTAAACCGAGCCACGACCTTTCGCTTGCCGTCATCTCTTAGCCGTAGTCTTTTCTTCCCGTCGTCGAACGTAGACTCGAATAGCATAACTTTACTGATATTTTCTTTCGTACGACATATGTACACACGTTCTTTGACGTTGCCTTTAATATTTCGTATGTTAAAAATCGATTTTCCTAATGCTTTTCTTCGCAAATAAAATAAGTTACTCGCCACGTATAATGAACAAGGTCTAAAGCATGTCGTGTTTGGTATCATTTCAATCGGAAAAATGTGACCGATATATAAAAAAAATTAGAAATAAAAAAGTTATGTCATCGTCTTTATTCTAGCACTAGAATGTATTCATAGTAATGTGCACCGGCTGCCGCCGGTGCTGGCCGCTGCCTTTCCAGGTAGTTTCACTCGACTAGAATTTCGTTCTATTTCTCTCTCTCTCTCTCTCTCTCTCTCTCTCTCTCTCTCTCTCTCTCTCTCTCTCACGAGGTGTCGGCGACTATAAAGACGAGCCGCGAGGCTCGAAGAATGAAATCTTCGTATTCTAGAACCGACGGCTTACATATCGGAGAGATTTTACTGCAAATCGAAGAGAAACGAAGCAATAATAGTGCTATGTATTCGAAGGAAACGAAAATGAATCTTTGGTAAAAGGCGGATCCGACTAGATTTTGAAATCATTTTGAAAACTAGTTTGTGTAAACATTGGAGAGCCTATTTATCGGTGGCAATGAGTTCAATGAATCGAGGTCTGCCGAGGGACTCATGTGCGAAGCGCGATAACGACGGCTGTACTATAGGTATAGCGCTATTAATAGGCGATTACCAGAAGAAGAGTAATATACAGTAACTATGTAATTAATATACAGTTTGAGAAAAAAAAAGCGGGCTTCGATTATTCTGTGCCTTCCCCACTACACCACGATATAATACATTTGTTCGATTGTTCTTAATACTAATGATTCTGCACTCTGCAGCATGCATGTAGTTACACTGCGCTCGCGAGCGGTGCATCATGCAGGGAAATTGGCTTGTACATTTAACGGAAACGTTTAATGAGTCTAACCGTAATCCTCGCTATGTATTGATTTGTTTTTTTTTTATTATTGAGTAACGCATATTTATCGACTAGAATGAGATTAGGTTAACGACCAGCACTCGGCATGCACAAATGGCGCACATAATCCGCGCTCAAGACTGATACAATACGTCCAAAGCAAATATTTACAATAGCTAGTCATACGTTTGCTTTCAAATACGGGTATCTATCTGAAATTATCTAACAGTTTTATTTAGTTTTCTTTAATACAAAAATCTGTTAAGACAATATCAGCTTGAGCTTTCATAATTACCAACAGGTAAGTCACTACTTCGTAGTTTGCAAACAATTCATCGTTAGTAGGATTTTTCAACAACCTCCCCACAGCAACAATCACTTTGTTCGTGACCCAATCGATTATCTGCAGTAGTATAGTCTAAGAATTTCTCCTGAAACGAACATTTGACAAAAATATTGAACTTTCCTTTATTAATCCTCGAATTACGAAAGGGTCTAAACATTAATTTTCTAGCAGCCAATTAAAATGATTGGACATTCACAATTAATTATTTGCAATTGATATACAATTCAATAAAAGTGTCAACGTTCATTTCAAGCAACCGGATTCAAAAAATTAGTAAAGCTTCACGTGGATCCAGCCATGGGCGCCATGTAGCCTACAGTCAGGCTTCCGGTAGCTAAAGCGTTAAAACCGCCAACCCGAGCATGAAAAGAAAGCTGTTGTAATACTGTATTAAATCACGGAAATGATAGTGACATGCTTGAAGAAAGTAAATTAGTTTCGCAAATCAAGATTCGAAAGTAAATGGATGATGATTGTCGGATCCAGGAAACATAGGGAAACGACGTTATCAAGCAAGATATTAAATGCTGTACAACACGCTTGGTAAATAAAGGTTTATTATTCGTCCTTCTTTCCTCTATCGTAATTTACTTAATTTCTGCTCGGACAGAAGTTTACAACTAGAGGCACTAGTCAAGCTTAAACTCTAGCTGACTACGAAGTTCGTATTATGCTCGATGTTTTCTACGACTATGGGCTCTCCCCGGCGCGACGAGACCCTCCAAGGGGACAAAATCGAAAAAACGGTGTAAAGTCGAAGTAGACTAGAACTAGCGTGTTTCTGTATTCACTTTTTGTCTGTTTTGTTTACCTTAACTTCGTTAATGCTAAGTTATATTTGCTCACTCCAGGTTTTGATCACTGAGAGACCATTAAGTGGTTCCGCTATAATCGGTGTGTATCCTTTCTGTGTATATGTACCGTGTCGCTGTAATTTCCTTGTTATATCATTTTTTCATATATTATCTATATATTTATATACATATATAGATCTCTGTGTACGTGATATTTAAGTCTTAACAATATGTAATATAGAAACTTCGACGTTTCTGTGTGTGGTATGTGGTATGTGTGTGTGTATCGAATCTGTGTACGGTGGGACACGGCGTGGACACGGAGAGACTGATTACGGAAGAGAAAAAGCCGCGGCCTCCGCGCGTCCCCTTATCTTCTACTCGAATAAAAACGCTATACCCTAAGAATGTAAAATACTGACACGACGGTACTCGTGAAAAAACGATAACGCGTCCTCTAACCCGGGTGTTCATCTGGCGTGTGAGTTGTGTCATGCTGTGCTCTATCGCGACACGTGCGTTACACCGGCAATTCGTCACCACAATGATTCCATGAAAATTATAACGCTCGACCGAGAAGACGCCCTTCTCTCTAATTCTCTCTCCCTCTCTCTCTCTTTCTCTCCCCGTCGACTCGATCACTTCCGGTTTTCTTTGCTTCTCCGACGGTCTATTTTTCCGGCGTTCCTCTCGTCAACAGACATTATATCGTCGTTTCGCAGATACTAGAATCCATGTATGACATTGTTGCGAAGACAAGCAAGCGGCGATAGGTGAGAGAAAACATGGCGGTCGTTAAGAAGACTTGTTATTTGTCTGAGGCGTACGGGGTTAATGGGAGAACTAAGGAGAGAACGATTAATATATGGCACACGCAATGTTAACACCGAAGCCATGATCGCACTCGTTACCGCTCTTCATTTTCAACCTATTTTGCATCGCGATGTCGATCTCCGTTTAAACATCATTGGATATTAAGCATGCTGTCGATTCGAGCAGCGATGCAGATGAGTCGATTAAACCGAACGCTTTTCCGGCGCGGGATGACTAGTCGTGTTCATAGCTAGAAAGCAAATGCTGGTGAACGTGTTTCTATCGTAGGTGCGGACGTCGAAGTGTTGATCCATGCAACTAGCAGTGATAACGCAGTACCGTATAGATTTGTTGATCACTTATGTTTAGTCGACAGAGGTGCGGTAACGAGTGTGGACACGGTTAAAACATCCATTTCAGACACTGAGAAAACAAGCGAACACAAGCATGTTAGTTTTGCAGAACTCATTGGCGTCGTTGCGTTATTTGGTAGCAGTCGTTTTCGCTTTTCCATTGGCACAAACGTGGTTCACGCCCTTTTCTTCCTTTCTGTCTTTTCTTCTGACATGATTTATAAATTAGTATAAATTATGTTTGAGATAATGAAAGAGATCCGTGTGATATAGTGGACGAAATGAAGAACATTTAAGAGATTTGTACTAAACTTAATATCAAAGAGTCGCGCTATCCGACCGACACCACTTCCGGCAGAAGTAGTTGGCTTCTAATAATACGTGTGTGGATTATAATACTTGTCCTAGAGCGAACAGCTCTTTCGACGGCGCGAATCACCTCTTTCCCTCTCTCTCACTCTCTCGATAACTTTCTCTCCTATCGTTTTCTCTTGTTACCTTTCATTCGTGCACGGCCGTCGAGATTTCTCACGCAAAACTGGACCGACACCGGGCAGTGTGTCACTACGGCAGAATCGCACGAATTTGTATATAAGAACTGGCACAGTGAGGCAATGATCTTAGGATTCTCTAAACTAGTAACCGTAACGTACTTATTTAATTTACTTATTGACTCGTATAATACATTCACCCACTCATTGCATTTGATCCTAAATCACTCACCCTATATATAGTTCCCATATGTTCCCTATGAAAACTCAGCGGTGACAACATCGAACTGTCGAGGGCCGATTCGTTGTCGACGATTTGCGAAACGAAATCGAACGTTGTACGAAACAATACCCTGCACACAGTTTGATGACGATAACTGTCACATCTCTTTGGCAAACGTCCCTAGTTCTGCTAATCAAAGAACCGATTGCGATCGAAGGGGCTGCGATAAGGAAGCAGTTTCACTTTCAGCCGAACTAAAAAAGTATTCGTAATGATAAAATTAAATAGGAAGTGCAGCAATAAATAGCAGTGGTGTCGCGAAACCGGTATAACTTTCACACAGAGCGAACGGTCCGATTTTTTGTGGATGTACGAAAACGTGTAGAGGAGCTGCCGCCCCATCGGTGCAGACCCTTCGATCTTTAGTTAACGAGACTAGAATGTATGCATCCGTGACGCCGACAAGGAATCGATTCCTGTTCCGTTTCGTCGACATCCGCAACGAAGTACGTAATTTAATTGCACGCCAACGATTCTCTATACTCGGTCACAGCCTTCGGGGATGTAACGTCATGCATGTTATTATCACTGTTTTATATACCTATAACGCCTAAGAAAAAAATACTGCAGGCACGAGTAAAATCTCGGGATTACCCATTTCAAATGATTTTTCCCTTCCTTTTTCGGCTTCTCCCCATCTTTATCAACTCTTTCATCGTTATACGTTAGAGCGATTATGAAATAAGTGGAATGTCGAGAGATCAATGGATCGAAGCTTGTTCTTCGCCATTCTCGAAATGCCTTGGAAAAAAGAGAAGACTGACGGTACGGATATGTGCACAATCGTTTGCTTCGTGAAAACAAATGCATCAAAAACATTCTGATAATATTAAATTCATTTGTTCACTACGCGAAACCCCCACCCTCGCTATTTCACTCCCTCTCTTTTCCTGCCCATCTCTCCCTTTCTGGCTTTCTTTTTGTCCGGTCTGCGTGATCTACTACCAGTCTATAAAGTCTGTCGAAATTGACGTTACGCTAAAACGATGTAAGATTAAAATTCGAAGTATCGAAATGTGCCGCATATGATAAACCCTATTATTTAAACTGAGCAACTATCGAATAGTAAAACCTCCGACGGCTTGAAGACCAAAAAAGATTACATGATTCGTTTACCCTTTCTCTCTGTCTCTCTCTCTCTCCCCCCCCCCCCTTTCTTTCATTAC